ATTTTATTGGTGTGGGAATGGAAGGAGGTATATGTTCGTGTATGGTTACCGTCCTGTCTATAGAATTATCCAGCTCTCAGTTATTTGAAATCAAGAACGATTGAGAGTCATCAAAGCATCACCATGACCTAGACAAGACAGAGTTTTTGATGCCAGTAATAGAACACGAGCCTGGAAATTCCAATTTTGTTATAAATAACTTGGATGATTTGGAAATATTCCTTCACCAATAGTGAGAGAGAGTTGGTGAAGTATACTGGGAAATATTTCAACAGTGAGAGACAGTTGGAAAGGAATACTGGGAAATATTTCTTCAAGACTGAGAAACGGTTGCTGAAGGAACACCCTGGAACATTGCTTCAGTAAGAGGGGGGGGGGCAGGAGGAAGGGAGAGGAGGGGATTAGAGAACGAAATCCGAGATGAAATTGTTTCTTGACAATAAATTTATAATAGAAGATGAGATAACAATAAATTGATAACTGCAAAATTACACACACACACACACACACACACCACACACCGCACGCACACACACACACACACACACACACACACACACACACACACACACACACACACACACACACACAGGCCTACAGCGTAGTGGGTCACTAGCGCCAGGCTCCGAGAATCTCAAGTGTTTTTAGGGCGTGCTTTAGCAGCAACCAGTATTAGTGACAACGTCAGTGAACAACCCTACAAGTGATAACCAAAGTTATTAGTTAATAAAATAAAGAAAAGGCGAGAGAAAGCCTGAAATTATACAACAAAATTTCAAAGTGCCAGTTCGTTAGAGGCCTAGTTGGCACTTGTTGCCACAGTTACAAATATACAAAGTACAAAGCGAGTGACTAAAGACAAAAGATCAAAAAAGAATTAAGAGAGGATGGTTAACGAGAAACTGTGAGGTAGCAGACAGCGAGTGTGAACAAGCTAGCCAGAAAGGGGAAATATATATATATACATACATATATATAAATATATATAACCAGAGAAGGTGGCAGCAGTAGGCCTGAGGAAGTAGAGCCGCCATAACAAGTTGGGTGTCATCACAAATAATAAGTGTACTTACCAAAAGTGAAGTGTAAATTATAAAAGTAGCAATATACAAGTGATAAGTGTGGTAAATGAGGACTCAAACGGGCAATGAGAATAGAATAATTGAAGAGGTCGGAGGCGGAAGGGCGAGGTGCACGAGTCATCGTACATCAGGCATCTTGATGGACGTCCCCTCTGAGGAGTAACGTACACATCACCTGTTTGTGGTTGGCGGGAAGTTTGAGTGGTAGAGCCGGCCCTACGATCACTGGTGGCTGGCTGTCACATACCCTGCTCCAGAGTGATTATCATACACACAACACCTAGCAGTAGTAGGAAGATAAAATTTGTAGGAGCAAGGAATAGGCAGGAGGAGTAAGTTGGGGCCAATAGGACTGACAACAGTTTTAAGAGATAATGTTTTAAGACACAAAGACAGTACAATCTGAGAAGCAAGTATTGGGTACACATGTAGTATAAGGTAGTACACAACAGGGCGAAAGACTCTTTAACACACATTAGTATTATAATTATTAGAATTACTCTCAATATTAATGGTATTTTATTAGTATTATGGATACATAGAGGCGAAGTGTATTTCTGGGACACACAAACAACTCACGTGCTCACGCACACACGTGCGCACACCCACCCCCCGCACCACAGTTACAGTATTAGAACAGAAGTTGAAGGTTTGGTACACAAATGCAGATGGATTAACGAATAAACATGAGGAATGGCAAGAAAGAATCAATGAGAAGTCCCCAGAGATCATAGCAGTTACAGGACAAAACTCACGGAGACAATAACAGATGCAATCTTCCCACCAGGATACAAGATCATGAGGAAAGATAGAAGGGGCAGGGGGGGAGGTGGGGTTGCTCTGCTCGTAAAAAACAGATGGAAATTCGAGAAAATGGAAGGTATAGATGAGACAGGAGAAAGAGACTACATAGTAGGTACACTTCAGTTTGGGGAACACAAAGTGGTCATTGCAGTGATGTATAATCCACCACAGAACTGCAGGAGGCCAAGAGAGGAATATGAAGAGAGCAACAGAGCAATGGTGGACACACTTGCTGAGGTGGCAAGAAGAGCTCACTCAAGCAGAGCAAAGTTGCTGGTTATGGGGGATTTCAATCACAGGGAGATTGACTGGAAAACCTGGAGCCACATGGGGGTCCCGAAACATGGAGAGCCAGGATGTTGGACGTGGTGCTGGAAAACCTCATGCACCAACATGTTAAGGACACTACCAGAGTGAGAGGGGAGGATGAACCAGCAAGATTGGACCTTGTGTTCACCCTGGGCAGCTCAGACATTGAGGACATCAAGTATGAGAGTCCCCTAGGAGCTAGCGACCACGTGGTTCTGTGCTTTGAATACATAGTAGAGCTGCAAGTGGAGAGAATAACAGGAGTTGAATGGGAAAAGTCTGACTATAAAAGAGGGGACTATAAAAGAAGGGACTACATAGGGTTGAAGAACTTCCTGCGGGAGGTCCAGTGGGACAGAGAACTGGCAGGAAAGCCAGGAAATGAAATGATGGAATATGTAACAACAAAATGCAAGGAGGCAGTGGAAAGGTTTATTCCCAAGGGCAACAGTAACAATGGGAAGACCAGAACGAGCCCCTGGTTTACCCGACGGTGTAAGGAGGCAAAAACAAAGTGCAATAGAGAATGGAAAAAGTACAGAAGGCAGAGAACACACGAAAATAGGGAGATCAGTCGCAGAGCCAGGAATGAGTATGCACAGGTAAGGAGGGAGGCCCAGCGACAGTATGAAAATGACATAGCATCGAAAGTCAAGTCTGTCCCGAAACTGCTGTATAGCCACATCAGGAGGAAGACAACAGTCAAAGACCAGGTGATAAGGCTGAGGAAAGAAGGTGGAGAACTCACAAGAAACGATCAAGAGGTATGTGAGGAACTCAAAATGAGATTTAAGGAAGTATTTACAGTGGAGACAGGAAGGCCTCTCGGAGGACAGACCAGATGGGGACACCAGCAAGGAATATACCAACAAGTGTTGGATGACATACATACAGATGAGGAGGTGGTGAAGAAACTGCTAAGGGACATCAATACCTCAAAGGCAATGGGACCGGACATCTCCCTGTGGGTCCTTAGAGAGGGAATGGATATGTTGTGTGTGCCACTTACCACAATCTTCAACACGTCCCTGGAAACTGGGCAACTACCTGAGGTATGGAAGACGGCAAATGTAGTTCCCATTTTTAAAAAAGGAGACAGAAAAGAGGCACTAAACTATAGACCTGTGCCACTGACGTGTATATTGTGCAAAGTTATGGAGAAGATTATCAGGAGGAGAGTGGTGGAGCACCTGGAACGGAACAAGAGTATAAACGCCAACCAGCACGGATTCATGGAAGGAAAATCCTGTGTCACAAACCTTCTGGAATTTTATGATAAAGTAACAGAAGTAACACACGAGAGAGAGGGGTGGGTTGATTGCATCTTCTTGGACTGCAAGAAGGCCTTTGACACAGTTCCTCACAAGAGATTAGTGCAGAAGCTAGAGGATCAGGCTCATATAACAGGAAGGGCACTGCAATGGATCAGAGAATACCTGACAAGGAGGCAACAATGAGTCATGGTACGTAATGATGTATCACAGTGGGCACCTGTGACGAGCGGGGTCCCACAGGGGTCGATCCTACGACCAGTGCTATTTTTGGTATGTGTGAACGACATGATGGAAGGGTTAGACTCGGAAGTGTCCCTGTTCGCAGACGATGTGAAGTTAATGAGAATCAAATCTGATGAGGACCAGGCAGGACTTCAAAGAGACCTGGACAGACTGGACACCTGGTCCAGCAAATGGCTTCTAGAATTTAATCCCGCCAAATGCAAAGTCATGAAGACAGGGGAAGGGCACAGAAGACCACAGACAGAGTATAGGCTAGGTGGCCAAAGACTGCAAACCTCGCTCAAGGAGAAAGATCTTGGAGTGAGTATAACACCGAGCATGTCTCCAGAAGTACACATCAACCAGGTAACTGCTGCAGCATATGGGCGCCTGGCAAACCTGAGAACAGCGTTCCGATACCTTAATAAGGAATCGTTCAAGACACTGTACACCGTGTACGTCAGGCCCATACTGGAGTATGCAGCACCTGTTTGGAACCCGCACTTGATAAAGCACGTCAAGAAACTACAGAAAGTGCAAAGGTTTGCGACAAGGTTAGTTCCAGAGCTAAGGGGAATGTCTTATGAAGAAAGGTTAAGAGAAATCGGCCTGACGACACTGGAGGACAGGAGGGTCAGGGGAGACATGATAACGGCATATAAAATACTGCGTGGAATAGACAAGGTGGACAAAGACAGGATGTTCCAGGGAGGGGACACAGAAACAAGAGGTCACAATTGGAAGTTGAAGACACAGATGAGAGAGAGATATTAGGAAGTATTTCTTCAGTCATAGAGTTGTCAGGCAGTGGAATAGCCTAGAAAATGACGTAGTGGAGGCAGGAACCATACACAGTTTTAAGACGAGGTTTGATCAAGCTCATGGAGCGGAAGGGGGAGAGGACCCAGTAGCAACCGGTGAAGAGGCGGGGCCAGGAGCTAAGACTCGACCCCTGCAACCACAAATAGGTGAGTACACACACACACAACCACACACACACACACACACACACACACACACACACACACACACACACACACACACACACACACACACACCATCACACACCACACACACACACCCGCACACCACACACACACACACACACACACACACACACCCGCACCACTCACACACACCCGCACCACTCACACACACCCGCACCACACACACACACACACACTACCCATGTATGCATTAGTAATTCATAATATATTTACATTTTTATTACTAGCTCAATATCTCCTAATAAATGACTTTATGTTCCCCTATATTAACTCTTATTACTTTTATTTACATCTTATTGCAGAAGCAACAACTGAGTCAAGACAATGGTATCGTCAACGCTGGTGCTGCTGCTGCTGGTCCCCATCTTGGCCTCTGGTAAGGTTCTAAACACTATAATATGCAATGTTGTAATATCCTTAGTGCTCCAAACCATTTAATTGTTTCAATATCATGCATGACGATACACAAATCATGCATCATTTACATCATGTCAACATACTGGGAAAGCTCCATTTTAATGTAAAAGGGAAATTACCAAAGACTCCAGTCTTCAGAAATACATGATCAGTCGAGCTGCGTGCTGGTAGCACCAATAGCTTGGTTGATAACACTAGTAACCTCACGGCCTGGTCCCAATCCAGGCCTCGGGGCAGTGATCCAAAGAAGCATCTTAGACTACATGTTATCCCTTAAGAAAACACACACGTATGTGGCTTATATAAAGCGGTCGAGCAAGATTGAGCATACGATATCATGTATGTGAATTTCGACACCTTTGCCGAGGACACAAGAGCTGTACACAATGACCTAGAAAGGTTGACGTTGTGGTCACACATGTGGCAGATGCAGCTTTATGGGGTCAATATCAGTGTCATGTATAATGTAAACAATTCTGACCTCAATCTGCATACGAAAAATATTTAGGAGTTCCAGTTAGCGGTAATTTAAAGCCAATAGAACAGTGTATAAGTGTAGGCAGTAAAGATAATAGAATTACTGGCTTCATTTTAATTGCGTATATAACAGAAGTCCTCAGGTTATACCTCAACTTTGTGTGTCATTGGTAAAGTCTCGTGTAGATTGTGCTGGTCAGTTCTCCTTCCCATAGTATTGAATGGCCATAATTCCGCTCGAAAGGAAAGGAAGATAGGCTAAAGGCGCTGAATTTACACTCTGAAAATACCTAAAATTAAAAAGGGGATATGACTGAAGTGTATAAATGGAAATTTAGAATAAATGAAGGGGACATAAATTTGCTGATGATATCCAGCCAAGAGAGAAATCGCAAAACTGGGTTCAAGTTGGAGAAATTTAGATTTAGAAGGGATATAGGAGAGTTCTAGTTTGGTAATAACAACATATTGACTGATGATAGCAGTTATTATTGACTGGTGATAGCAGCTATTATTGACTGGTGATAGCAGTTATTACTGACTGGTGATAGTAATTAATGACTGGAGATAGCAGTTATTATTGACTGGTGATAGCAGTTATTACTGACTGATGATAGCAATTAATGACTGGTGATAGCAGTTATTACTGACTGGTGATAGCAATTAATAACTGGTGATAGCAGCTATTACTGAATGGTGATAGCAGTTATTACTTACTGGTGATAGCAGTTATTACTGACTGGTGATAGCAATTAATGACTGGTGATAGCAATTAATGACTGGTGATAGCAATTAATGACTGGTGATAGCAGTTATTGACAGGTGATAGCAGTTATTACTGACTGGTGATAGCAATGACTGGTGATAGCAGTTATTATTGACTGGCGAAAGCAGTTTATTGGTTGTATATACTGAGCTATTTTACTATATACTTTTCATATATTTCGTTGGTGTCAGCTTTCAAATTTTATATTTACTTGCAATTTCTGACATTATCTGGTTTATCCCTGAGCTCTCTTGTTCATCACTCGGCGAGTGATGAACAAAATCGTGCCAACCCTGACATGTCAACGTTTATGATATTATATTAATTACAAAGACCATTCTACTCTCTGTCATTCACGACAACCACTAATATTCTAACTACAGAAAACTGTTGTCATCAACCAGCTCTCATATCGAAACAGCCGACTAGTTTAGGATCGTTCGTAAAGGCTCAAATTTTTGGGAGTCCTTAGGATATAATTTCTTCTATTGCAGATGATTCACGTGTAATTTAAAAGCGCTAAGACAAAATAACAAACATGAAATACACATACACATTATATATATATATATATATATATATATATATATATATATATATATATATATATATATATATATATATATATATATGAGAGAGAGACTGATTACCTCAAACTCCTGATCTTTAGCATTCTTCTTTGTACTGGACTGATGAAGTCATTGTGTGGCGAAACGTTTCATAATAAAGATACCCAAGTGTTGTACATGTATCTAACTTACCGACCTGTCGGTTCTCTGAACCACTTATCTACATAAACACAAGTGGAGGCAAGTGATGTTTATGATTTGACATTCTGTTGGAGTGTCAGCAACCTAACATTTATGACAAGATCTGGGGAAACCGGTTAAGCGGTCATGAGTGTGTGAGGCGGGAGGTACAATGCTGCTACTCTGAGGGACGTGTAGCAATGTTGCAGTTCAAAGAATTATTACAAATGCGATACCAAAAGTCTTGTGGGAGGACAGCGATTGACTGAACAACTGTAGATATGCTTCCTCTATTACTCTGTCACCCTAATACGGTGAAAAATGGCCGGTGAGTTCTAAAATACTCAGACGTTTAGATTAATACATATGTATATTCTTACATGTATTAAAATATAAATTTATACAAATATTCACACGAAAAGCCTATAAAAACTAAAAAAAATACCGATTAATAGATGAATTTTCACGGTGTTGCCAAAATAAATACTAAATTAATAACCTTATTGTGCCTTATTATCACTTATATGATGATTACTTTACCCTCAGTCAGGAGATAAAGTAATTAAGGGTGAGGGGAAAGTGTAGTAACTAGTGATGAAGGGAGAGTGTACTAACTAGTGATGAGAGGAGAATGTAGTAACTAGTGGTGAGGGGAGATTGCAGTAACTATTAGTGAGGGGGAGAGGGTAGTAACTAGTGATGAGAGTGTAAGAACTAGGAGTGAGGGGAGAGTGTAGTAACTAGTGTTGATATGAGTGTGGTAACTAGTGGTGAGGGCACAGTTTAGTTACTATTAGTGAGGGGAGAGGGTAGCAATTAGTGCTGATTTGAGTGTAGAAACTAGTGGAAAGGGCAGAGTGTAGTTACTATTAGTGAAGGGAGAGTGTAGAATTAATGTTGAGGGGAGAGTGTAGCAACTAGTCGTTAGGAGAGAGTGTAGTAACTAATGGTGAGGGGAGAGTGTACTAACTAGTGGTGAGAGGAGAGTGTAGTAGTGTTGAGGGGAGAGTGTGATAACTAGGGGTGAGGGGAGAGTGTAGTAACTAGTGCTGATTTGAGTGTAGTAACTTGTGTTGAAGGGAGTGTAGTAATTAGGGGTGAGGGGGAGAGTGTAGTAACTAGGGATGAGGGGAGATTGTAGTAACTAAGGGTGAGGGGAGAGTGTAGTAACTAGGGGTGAGGGGAGAGTGTTGTAACTAGTGGGAGGAGTGTAGGAACTAAAAATGAGGGGAGTGTAGGAACTAGGGGAGAGGGGAGAGTGCAGGAACTAGGGGAGAGGGGAGAGTGTAGGAACTAGGGGAGAGGGGAGAGTGCAGGAACTAGGGGAGAGGGGAGAGTGTAGGAACTAGGGGGAGAGAGGGAGAGTGTAGGAACTAGAGGAGAGGGGAGAGTGTAGTAAGTGTTGATGTGAGAGTAGTAACTAGTGGCGAGGGCACAATGTAGTTACTATTAGTGAGGGGAGTGTGTTGTAACTAGTGGTTAGGGGAAAGTGTAGTAACTAGTGGTTGAGTGTGGTAACTAGTGGTGAGGGGAGAGTAGCAACTAATGGGGAGGGGAGAATGTAATAGCTAGTGGTGAGGGGAGATTGTAGTAATTAGTGGTGAGGGGAGTGTGTAGTGACTAGTGTGGAAAGGAGAGTGTAGTAACTAGGGGTGAGGAGAGAGTGTAGTAATTAGGGGTGAAGGGAGAGTGTAGTAACTATCGGTGAGGGGAGAGTGTACTAACTAGTCTTGAGGGGAGAGTGTAGTAATAAACGGGGAGAATATAGTAGCTAGTGGTGAGGGGAGAGTGTAGTAGCTAGCGGTGAGGAGTGTGTGTAGTAACTAGTGTTGGGGGGAGTGTGTAGTAACAAATGGGGAGGGGAGAATATGGTAGCTAGTGATGAGGGGAGAGTAGTAACTAGTGGTGAGGGGAGAATGTAGTAACTAGCGTTGAGGGGAGAGAGTAATTCTCCCCTCAGAGTGCCACCAGTCAGCTCAAATAATTATAAAGTAATTCTGGAATGCTTCAGAGATTATTCTTCGTAATTAATTATTTGAAAGATAATTATAGGCACTGCTGATATAAATTATCCTTGATGATGGAGGATCATACGAACTACCACTGCTATGTATAATATACTGCACCACTCTCTATACATGACTATGTATAACATACTGCACCACTCTGTATACATGACTGCTATGTATACACTGCACCACTCTGTATACATGACTGCTATGTATAATATACTGCACCACTCTCTATACATGACTATGTATAATATACTGCACCACTCTGTATACATGACTTATGTATAATATACTGCACCACTCTCTATACTTGATTCCCCTCTTAAGCTACCTGTTCCCATCTAACACTGGCTAACAAAGTCACGTGTTCGCTAATAACACTGGGTAACAAAGTCACGTGTTCGCTTCTAACACTGGCTAACAAAGTCACGTGTTCGCTTCTAACACTGGCTAACAAAGTCACGTGTTCGCTTCTAACACTGGCTAACAAAGTCACGTGTTCACTTCTAACACTGGCTAACAAAGTCACGTGTTCACATCTAATACTGGCTAACAAAGCCACGTGTTCACTTCTAACACTGGCTAACAAAGTCACGTATTCGCTTCTAACACTGGCTAACAAAATCACGTGTTCGCTTCTAACACTGGCTAACAAAGTCACGTGTTCGCTTCTAACACTGTCTAACAAAGTCACGTGTTCGCTTCTAACACTGGCTAACAAAGTCACGTGTTCACTTCTAACACTAACAAAGTCACGTGTTCACTTCTAACACTGGCTAACAAAGTCACGTGTTCACTTCTAACACTGGCTAACAAAGTCACGTGTTCACTTCTAACACTGGCTAACAAAGTCACGTGTTCACTTCTAACACTGGCTAACAAAGTCACGTGTTCACTTCTAACACTGACTAACAAAGTCACGTGTTCACTTCTAACACTGGCTAACAAAGTCACG